GACATACACTGTATTCGGTGCAGTACTTGTGTTAACATGTGGAATAGACCTTTTTTAATGAACAGTAGACATTTTGATTTTTTAAAACAGCATTTTTCTAACAAGTCTGTCAAGAGTATTTTTTGTTGCTTTTGACTTTAAATTTAAACAATGCATTTTTTAACTTTTTAAGCATGCTGATGAGGTGATACTTGACAGCAGAAGCCTGTCGGCAGTTCGTTTCAGAACCCATCCTGTCCAGTCAACCAAAGTTTGTTTGAATGCAGCCAAACCACATTATATATTTGTTGATGCTAAAGATTTATCAGGTAAAGCATGTTGTAATCTTTGTCTAGCTGCTCATGACATGTGGGTTTAAGTTACAACTAAGGAAGAATGGTGTATTAACTGAAATATGTGTAATGTGCTTTGAAAATGAGGTTTTAAAAGCACATAATTTATTGATTGTAGGGATGGAAGTAAGTATATATATGAATTATAACATGGGTTGATCTCTTCAAAGGGGAATAAAATGCACTACCAGTAGAGGGAACTGAACTTTGAAGTTAGTCTGGAAATTCTCAGTTAAGATCTGTATGACCTGCTTGTGGTGTGTAGCTAAATCAGTCTGCTTAAAAGATGGTGGCATTCTCCTCTCAGCAGTGAGAATATTTGGAATAAGTAGTGGTTTTTTTCTAATCAGTGTTGTGTTTTTGTAACTTCGGTTACAATTAATCATCAAATCTGCACTATTTTTACACTGCCAATGAGAAGAAAGTCAAGGGTATTGAAAATGCTAAAAGAATGGGATGTAAACAGCTGTTTGATTTTTGCAGTGTAAGTCACACAGTGAACTAGCTAACTTTCTGTCTGTTCTACGGAGCTTGAACTTAATTTTGTTCTGCCAAATCTGACTGCCACACTGAGTAAACTACTACTGGATGTTGTGTATTAGAATAGTGGGCAATGGACTACTTTTGTAGAATTGTGGTAAGAATCTGGTGAGCCAAATCCACATGTTCATTTGATTATTTTTTTTTTTTTGTACAGCTGTTGCTGGAAGGTTTGTTCTAAGAGATTTGCTTCCCATTCTGGGCTGGCTGCAGAGATGAGGCTACTTAGGGATGTAAACATAAAGCCAAGAAACTTGCTTTGACAGCCAGGTTTGAAATGTGTCAGACCCTTTGTTTCTTCATTTCAAGGGATTATTGCACTCATGTAAAATGGCTGGTACTTTTGCATCTACAGTTGGGTTCCCTAATTCACAGCTTTCAGGTAAAACAGTTACCAGAGAAGCTACCACTACATCTGTCCAGGTTGCTTGGGAGAGCAAAGTAGGTTGTTGCCCAGTGTGTTTCTTACTCAGTACTGCTGCCTGTGGTTGGGGACCACTGCTTTAGACACTCCCAAAGACCTCTTCTCACCCCCCTGCAAGTCATGAGGTATGATGTGAATTACTCTTTACAGAGACTTTACAGAGACAGGTTCTTTTAACCACTGTTCACAGGATTAGATACTCCAGTGTTGTGTAAGTGATCTTTTTTTTTTTTCCTTCTCCCTTCTCCCCCCCTGCTCTTGCTCAGGCTATGGCTGCAGCTTCCCTGGTTATGAAACATGAAAAGTGTAAAATCCAGTTTGATCCAGCTTTAGGGAGAAGTTAGGACTCTGTTAGGTGATTCAAGGGGGAAGGTATGCTGCTGTTCCCTTTGCACCAAACAGCTCACCTCAGCACTATTTAAAGACTGTCTCTGTAGTGTCTCCTGACCACATCATCTACACCCACCTCCCAGGAACCTTCTCCCTGTCAGACCACTTAGGCTGGTAAATTTATTGAATGCATAGTTATGGCCACCCTTACGTCATAAAAGCATTTTTAAGGAGGGAGGAGATGAGCTCTGCAGAATATAGACTCTAGGTCAGCTGATAAATACCATTCACTTTCACAGCAGCCTTAGCAGTACATCTGTTTGTTCTACCAAACATTTTGGTATGGCATAGAGAATTTTTTTTAACTGCCACAGATAAATATTGTAAATTTAATATATTATAGGCAAAACTAGACAAATCTACATTTGACTTTCCATAGCTGACAGAAGAGGATGAATATACCAAGTATTTTTAGTGCCTTTCTACCTTCATAATGACTGAGAGCTTTAACTAAAGCACCTCATCACCTAGTCAGATGCTTATCTGAAAATGTTTAAAGGGTTGATTCCTTTGCAAAATTTTTTTCAAGATCATGTCAGCCACTTTCCCGTCAAAAAGGTGCTAAGCCTAATATTGCATTTTAACCTTAGACTTTCACCCCATGAGTAATGTGAATATTTATTTCAATGTGTCCCTCTTACTGGGTTTTACTTTATCCAGTCTTTAGTTGTTTTAGAGAGATGTCACATCATGGTTTTATGCTGTTGCTTTTCATTATGAATGTTTAATTATGAACAGTGACTTTTGTAGATTTCAAATATACAGTCCACAGTTGAGTTTCAGAGGATTTAATTTCTTGGTGTAAAGAGTTTTGTAATGGTGCTTTGTACAGTATGTATTCTAATTTTTTTGCACATAGTTTCAGTTTCCCTAAACTGATTTATTTGTACCAAATTTTTGTGTTGTACTAAAGTCCAGAGCACACAAGCTGTTTTTAAATTCTTGTTCTACAACACTACATCTGTATTGAACTTCTGGTGCGTTTAAACTGGCTGCATTGATGGAAGTAAAAGCTTTGCTTCTACATCATAAGTATGCATCATACAGCTTAATGTAGCATGCTCCAATTGCTTCAGATTTTAAACAGCACCATATAGTTAACAGGTGCCATTTGTTGTACTTTACACTATGTAGTAGGTTTCTGGCTCTACCACAACCTCAGAGCTTTGTCCGTAGTTGTAATTAGTTTATACAAGTGTAATTACTCCTCCACAAACTGAGAGTTCTTAGTTTATCATTTCCTTTGTATTTATTACAGAGTGTTTTAGCATTGGTATCATTGTATTTTCACCCAGCTGTTACATGAGCTTTAACAAAAAAAAAAATCTGTATAAAATGGTTTTTAAGTACTTAATGTATGTACCCATGCAGAAGTTGAGCAATAAATTGTATGCTGTTTGCACTGTCACAGCATCAATGGTTTTAAAAGTTTTAAGTTTTTCTTAAATATTTACTTTAAAATATACCTATTGTTTTTAATTAAGTAACTCAACTTTGTTTCAGGCAAAAATACTTAAAACTTGGTGTCTTTCTACATGCTGTTACCTACAATAAGGATTGTGCTAAATGTTCCAGTCAAACAAAAAAGGTCTTTTGGCTTTCATGTAATGGCATACACGTGTCATGGCAAGGACTTTACCTCAGCACTGGTGAACAGATGTCTCCTTTCAAAATTCACGAGAGCTAAACCATCTTCCTTAAGGGGGAAAAAAGGTAAATAAACTTGGTAAATACTTGTTAAATTTGATCAACTTAGCCGATAAATATTGTCCCTTAGATAAAGACTTCAAACTAGCCTGGCTTATAGTAACTTCCTGGAAATAGTTGTTAAGAAAGTCAGGGTGTGGGTTTCTGTTTTTGTGGAGACTTTTGGGGTTTGATTTAGTTTTTTTTTAAGTGAGGTATATCATGCTGTAACTGCTAGCGGTTTTGTTCAATCTGTAAAGGAAGCATCTCCTCCCTCAAAAAGGGGCTTGCTTTCCTTCCCAGTGCATGAGTCTTAATCCACTGAGTGTACTTCTATTCTATAAGAGACACCATCTCATGGCAAGCTTCAAACATTGTATATACAATGCAATTAATTCCATTATTTTTTATGTCACTTCTCACGTGCAGTTTTAAGCAAGAACTCTTCTACTAGAGCCTGTTTAAAATTACACTTTAGTTCATCCTCATTACAAAGATAAACTATTTAAAAATTGCAGTTTTGTCAAGCAGCAGAGAATATATCAGTAGTGGGCTTCACTAATTATCAGCTTGGTTTAATGTAATCTGTTCTCAGTTTAAGTATTCATCCCTCTGTGTTTACATCTCATAGGGCCCATATTGCATGGCTGCTGAAACTTGAATTTAGTAAACAGTGTATTGTTTATAGCACATGATGATTCTACAAAGATAGGTGTAGTGCCTATTGACTGCTCCTGCTCTGCCTAGAAGCAGACCTTACAACCTGAAGATAAAAGCTGAATGATGAAGTTTTTAATCACTGTTTATGCTAGCTTCGCACCAACAGAACTAGAACTATTCTGCTTTTCCCTAAAAAAACAGGGTGTATATATATACAAGTACCCTTGCAAAACTGCTGTCCAAATAACCTGCTTCTAAGAGCAAACATGATTGTTATTGCTTGTCCATTTGTATATAGCATTACTATGACTCCCTTCTGAAACAGATCAATTGAAACAAAACTTTGGTTGTTTACATCTGGGCTGATACTTTTGAAAACCCCATGTGAGATCCAACAACTGACATCCCTACAGAGCATACACCTATTGGTATACTCCGGTTGAAAACAATTAGGAATGCTCCCCAGGCTACATTTCCTGCAGAAGCTTATATTTTGCTGCTTTAGAATAATTTATTGTTTTCTTTATTTCAAACTACTTTTTCCAATACATTTGTACCATAGGAAGTAGTACTTTATATGCTTTGCCATTAACAAGCCAGCAACACCAGAATTTCAAATATAGCATTGTGTAGAATAAGTAGCCCTCCCATGTTAATATATTTAAAATTACTGATTTTTATGTCAGGTTTATTGCAGGCATTCTCTAACTTGTCTTCTCACAGGAAACTTGAACCACTGCTGTGCTTTTAAAGATCGTCTTGTTCTTTGTGAGCTTTCCCATCCTGTAATTTCTGGCTAATGGTGTCAGTGTGGCTTTTCCACTTCAGCAACAGAACCAGCACAGGCGTAGAGGAGGCTTAACATTCAACTATTTGACTGAGGTAGCTTCACTAAAGCACACTGACTTGATCCCACTTCCTTCATGTGGAGCTTGACATTATCTCAGCCTTGCTGGCAAGGTATAAAGTAGTTCAGAAACTTTACTGGTGATCATAAGAGTGCTGTAGAGCAGCTACACCTCTGACCTGTCAAAATGACAGACCAGATATTTTAGAGAGAAACAGCCACACACCATCTTCCTGTTTTAGCAGCTTTCAAAGATTCTCATCGTCTTAGCCAGAGAAAACTGCAGTGATGCTTACCCTAAGTCTTACAAGAAACAGCTTTTGCTATACTGAAAGGAAGCCATCTGAAGCCTAGATTTTAGTCTGTCTGCTTCTAGTTCTTGAAAAAAGGTGTCATCATCACTTTGCATTATTGCTGCTTGCAGTTGCTGTATTTCCTTTTCCATCCTTGATCTCAATTCCTTTTTTGTTTTCTGCAGCATCTAAAGCAAATACAGACATTAGACACAGCAAATAAAAAGAAAAGACATACACAAAATTAAATACTTACTTGTGCTTGTGCTTTCTCTCTGGTTTGGATTTCTTGGCGTTCTTGAGATAAAGCTTCTGCTAGCATGGAAAACTAAGCATAACACATGTTTGAGTTGAACCAATTAAAGGAAGGAAAGACTTCTAGTGTAAAAAAATATTAACTCTTTGATGCAGATTAAGCTTTACCTGATCTTTGTAATAGTTCTCCATAGACTCCAATTCATTTTGATGTTCTCTCCTTTGCTCAGCACGCTTCTCTTGAGCATATGCTCTCATGTCCTTCAGTCTTTGCTTCTGAATTTCTAGGCCTTCTTCAAATAAGTTTTTAAATATCTGCCATCAATTAAAAGAAGCAAACACAAAAGTTTCCCAAAAACTTTTAAGTATACATTTACATTTTTCAGCTGCTTTATCTTCTGACAGAATGGTGATCACATGAAGACAAGTCATTACCCATGAAAAAGTACAGTTATGTATCAAGTAATGGTGGTACAGTTACAGTTAAGCTGTATTTGTATTAAATTGATAGATAAAATAAATTTTTCACATCAATTTAGTCATATGACTAAGGAAGGGGCTAGAACAGCAAATGTAATATACATTTTAAAAATCAGTTCAGACAACCCAACAGTGTAAGCCAGGGTCTTTGAATGTGCACTGTAATTTACAGCCCACCCTGCATTCTGTTGTCTAACTTCAGGACCTTCATCCAGATTTCCAACAGCAGGAAATCCAGCCTGTACTCAGGCTTTCCATTTATACAAAAGAACACTTACCAGCTACAGTGCAGCTTGAAGCAAACAGTTCTCAAATCACTAATAGTGGATTATGCACTAAACTTCTAGCCTTTTATTTTAAAAGGTGAGAATCGCATATTGACTCTTGCAAGTGTAATAACTCTACTTGCTTTCCTTAGCTCTGATGTCCAGCTCTAATTAGAGATCATATCTGTCAAAAAGTCCACTTTGTTTAACAAACATAACTGAATAACAAAAGCTGTCTTTTTGATCCATTTCCTTAACTGAAGATGTAATTGTTTTCTTTGGATGGTAACTGTAGGAACAACTTCTTAATCCTACTGTTTCTGAAAACTCATTTCCCCAATTTCTCATGTTACCAGCCCTGTTTTTCCATACTGATACTTCACCCTTTCTCTCCTTCTCTTAACCCCATAGAGCATCCTTTCTTGTTTTACAGCAGTTTGCCCTAAATTGTATCAGTGTTTCCAAAGAAGGAACCTTTTCATCTGTGGCCTTGACTGACCAACCATTTAATCCTGGCTCCTATGCTTTGTTCACTTAACCTGCTCTCTGTCTACTTGTGTACCATTATTTGAACTACCATACTGTGGGTCCTCAGCACTGGGATCCAAACAAAAAAGGAATTCCACACTTGCAGAGCAAAACATCTTACCCTTTCTTCCCGTGTCCTAGCCCGCATCATCTTGGCACGCAACTGAACCCGGTAATCTTCATAATATTTCTTGGCTCGAGCAACTTGCTGGCGTTTCTCTCTCACTTTATTCTGAGCCCATTTCTGTCGGCAGATACGTTGCTTAAATTCTTGCTAAATGGAGAACAGTAGCTGTAAGACCACCGAGCTTCCAATAGATATTGCTGCAGGCAAAGCTTTGTTAATCATTGCTATATAAGCGAGCCCCTTTCATTAAGGACCTTCTTCCTACCCCAATTTTACACTGCAATTATGGTTTAAAGCTTTAGTCACCACTGATTTAGCAAAGTGGTGCCATCCAGAGTGCATATAATTAAGGAGTCAGCATTGCTGTGGTAGCTGGTGTTTTTACCATCAACACCAGGAGCCTGAAGTTTCTCCTCCTTCCACATTCTTAGAATTTGTTTGCACTTTTAAAGCAACAGTGCAGTGTAATACTAATATTCTATTCCCATGACCTCAGTAGCCACACAGCAAACAGATTACATGGCGTTTGGGACCACAGGCATTTGAGACCATGGCTACTCACGAGGCATAAAATTGTGATAAAATAAAAAGCAACTTTTGTGGACCAGGGAATATGCATTCTAGGTAGCTCAACACGAAATTTTTGTATTGTGTAACAAATATCCTTGAAGGAACATACCAGTCTCTTGTTATGGTCTTGATCTTTTTTAATAATTGCAACAAGAAGCTCATGCTTCTTCAGGGCTTGTTGAACCTGGAGGTTTAAAAAAGCTAATTACTTCCATCATTCTGCAGGACAGGCAGTTGTGTGTAGGAGTTTTAAACATTGCCCCTCTGCTATGTTTTGGGGTTTTTATGTTGAGAGTTACCATGCATAAGTTATTCAACTTTTGTGTCTCATAGCTAACTTTTAAACTAAAGGACTGTTCAGAACTAGCACTCAAAACTATTAAATGCTTTTAAAAAAGCAATAGCAATCCTAGACAGTACTAGATAAACTAGTGTAAAAAATGAACATTATATTCAAGGGGCTGTTAAAAAGTTGAACCCACATATCTAGATATGTACATCCCTGTTTAACTAACCAACCTCAGATATACATCCTTTCATATTGTGCTTTGGATGTGCATGTCCCCTATCTATGCTGCATACAAAGAGTCAGGATGATTTTTTTATTATTTTATTACACAATACACACTGATGACTGCTAACTGTTCTGTCAGAGGTACTATCCCTGCTGATACCTAGAAGGTAAGAATAAGAATGCTTACTTCATTTTGGAGTTTTGGTCTGGTTCTGCCAGAAGCTGCCTTAAGTTGTTCAGTATGTGCAAGCTGCTTCTGCCACATTTTATTCATAGTATGGTGGGAAATATGCAGGTGGGGAAACTCTTCCAGTAGCTGAAATAGGAGGTCATCATCTCTCACTTTCACTACAAGGTAAAGAAAGATGTAAGCAATAAATTCTGGGAGAATACATTTAGTGGTAAACTCTTCCAGACAGTGTCAGCCTAAGTTATGAAATACTTCAGACTGAACACTATATGAAACTACCATGCTGTTGTTATGATGTCAGGCTAAACCTAGCAGGACATAACATCACTCAGTACAGCAGCAGAGAAAGTAATCCCAAGTTTTTGTTGGGTGGGTCTTTTTTTTTCTGCTGAAGTACTTTCATAGCTCAGGCATTATTTCCCTCCCACTACCACATCCAATTAAAGCAGGTAGTCTCTGCTTTCTCCAAATGGTTCTGCCCATCACTAATCAGTGATGTCTTTATCTGTCTCTCTCACTGGTTGCAGCAACTTAAAATAATGCTAATACAGCCGTAGCAATGACAGATCCAGGTCAAGTAAATGGGTGTAAAATAAACTGGTTTGCAATCAGCTCATTCCCATTATATCTTTGGCTTTCTGGCAGGAAGAGATGATGGGGAGATGAAACAAATGGGTGTTAACCAAGTATATGCCCTTTAAACACTGAAAAAAAATTAAAAAGCAGTATACCTGAGCAACATTCAGATATGTAGGGGATTATACCATGATCTTATACATGAGGATGCACAATGCTGTTTACCAAACCTGAGCCTGCGATTTGCACGTTGGCTGTTGTTGGAGCATCACTTGCTCAGCAAAACTAATGGCAGTGTTAACATCACAATGGCAGGGCCTTGAAAGGAAGGCGATAGCAACTGACAGGTTCTGCTCGACTACATGTACATGGCTCAGTGCCTACCCACTCAAGCTAAAGGCCCAATTTTAAATCTGATACATGCTCAGAAAAAAAAAGACTGAGCTCAGACTATAGTAGAGCAAGCATAGGAGTAGCAGTAATGGAAATAAGCCTTGAAAATAATCCAAGGGACTTTAAAGAGGTAGCAAATGGGTCACAGTTTTGATTGTGCATTGGTGGTTTACATTTACTTAAAGCATTATCTTCCCTAACAAAAATCCAGACATATAGAGGTCATAAGAAGGGGAAAATGCTACAGCTGACTGGTATATGTTGGACTGATGCCTTTGTTCTTGGAGTTCAACACATGCTTTCAAAAGATGCCAGTTTTCCACCAAGTATAGTTTTGCAGTTCTTACTTGGAGATGCTTTCTTTGGCTTCACAGTCCCTCGTTTTGGAATCCACTGGCTGTATTTGGGATTCCGAGGTGTGGTTTTTCTAGAATAAACTTTCACTGGCTGAGGCATTTTTGGAGGTTCTTTAAAGATGTTTTCTTTGTATTCTTGTTCCTTAGGAGCAGATGTAAAACAGATGGAGAACAGGTATGAGAAGGGAAAGACTGATAGATCACATAGTTTGGATATCAGAACTTAAATGTCTTTGAAACTTTAGAATGAGAGTTTGGACATAGTGCATTGGATTCTCTAGAAGGCCAGAATTTACCAAAGGCAGGTCAGGGTTCAAATAAAGGTTAAATCTCACTGTTGCCTAACTTCAGCTGTTTTGCAGCACTTAACACTACTGCAGCAGCCTATGGACAGCCTACATGGTATGACAGAGCTTTTGAGCTTAGGTTCTTTGCTGTTCCACTAGTATTTGAGAGAACAACAAACCCTTTGCCATATTCATAACATTAGAGAATGATACTTACACAAACCCAACTTTTAGAGTAGTTAAA